AAAATCCATACTTCTCTTAATTCAATAATTTCCTATTCTCAAAATAGAATATATGACCATTAATTAAAAACTTAAGCAACAAATAATCTACAAATCGGGTAACTTTTATGGGTTGGGGATGCAAAAAAAGAAAATGTGCTACTACGTATAAGATTGATGCACAAATTTGCAAGAGAAAACAAAAAAGGAAAAGTTGAGGATTAATTTATTATTACCAAGAGTGAAGGCCATATAAGGAGCCTTATTAAAGTACTATTTATGGCAAGTAATTTAAACCTTATTAAGAAATGATAAAACCAAATCACCAAAGAGTTAATAGATTACAACAAATAGTGATCTACAAATCTGAAATCTAGAGCAAAATTAGTTGCTCTCAACAATAGCTTCAACCCCTCACTTTGTCCTTTTATGATGTTATTTATGGCAAATTGGTTACTCCTAATACTATTTTAAAAAGTCTTCTCCCATTTGTGATAAACCTATTATTTTATTTTTTGAAGGGATTGTAAACATTAGCAAACCCACTTAGTGGGACAAATGTCTGTTGTTGTTTTTTTTTTGTTGAGGAGACTGTCAACATTGAAAGGTGCTAACATTAATGAATGGTGCATTAAAAAAATTGTGAAGTAGGCATAGATGGAATAGGCTACAACTCACATATGATGAGTCACATTTAGTAGTCTAATTTTCATTTGTCATCTCTCCATGAGAAGCTCCATTATGTTATAATTACATGTAATAAATGATTTTTCATGACAACATAAAATTATTTCATTAAGTTGGAGGTACAAGGGGTGTTTTTACATGGAAGATGTTAGGCATAATCCCCTCAGAAATAGAGTTATCATTCTCCCAACATGAAGAAATGCTTTTAATTATAAGAAATATGATGAATAATAAAAATTACACTTTGTTTGGCCTAAATATATTACATTTATTTTAATTATGTTGAGATTGAAGTCAGATGCCATCTACTTATGTATGAGTAAAAAAAATTCTCATTATATGAGCTTATGTAGTTCAAAGTGGAATGCACAATGTTATTAAAATGTGCCAATCTTATATATGAATTCGATCACTCTTTTTCATTTTGAGATGGAGCTCAAAAGAAAACATAATTCATATATGAAGATTTTCATAAAAGAACCAAATAATTCACCATTTTAATACATAATATAAATGTCAATAAATTTAGTGTACAATTAACAATGATAGATCTTCTCTTAGAGAGACATCTATGTTGAAATATATACTTGATTTTAGTTGTTTAAATAATACCTAATTATGTCTTGAGTCGATTTGGGCATCTCAACTTCGGAGGACTTGAATTACTTTCAAATAAAGAGATGATGGAGGATTACCTTACATCAACCACCCTGATCAATTATGTGAAGAATATTTACTTAGAAATCACTTCAGGAAAAGCTTTCTAAGGGAGTCAAGTTCAAGAGCCCAAGAGCCTCTTGAGCTTATACATACAGATGTCTGCGGTCCAATAAAGTCATGCTCACTCGATAAGAGCAACTATTTTCTTCTCTTCATAGATGATTTTTCATGAAAAATATGGGTGTATTTCTTAAAACAAAAATCAGAGATTTTTGAAACATTCAAGAAGTTTAAGGCAGATGTAGAGAAAGAGAGTGGTCTCAAGATCAAAGCTATGCGATCTGATCAAGGAGGAGAATTCACTTCAAAAAAATTTCAAGAATTCTGTGAAGCCAATAGAATACGTCGACTTCTAACTGTTTCAAGATCCCCCCAACAAAATGGAGTAACGGAAATGAAGAATAGAACCATCCTTAACATGGCAAGAAGCATGTTAAAAAGCAAGAGATTGCCGAAGGAGTTTTGGGCATAAGCGGTTGCATGTGCTGTTTATTTGACTAACCGATCACCAATAAGAAGTGTGTTGGGAAAGACACCACAAAAAACATTGAGTGGAAGGAAGCCCGACATCTCTCATCTACGAGTTTTTGGATGCATAAGTCATGTACACATACCCGACGAGAAAAAAAGTAAGCTGGATGATAAGAGCGAGAAGTTCATTTTCATTGGTTCCGACAACAAATCGAAAGACTACAAGCTAAACAATCCAAATACAGGGAAGACAACTGTCAGCAGAGATGTCATATTCGATGAAGGAGGAGAATGTGACTGGGAACTACATGATGAGGACTACAAATTTTTTCCATACTTTCAAGAAGAAGACACAGAGCAGCCTGAAATCGAGCAAGCAAGAGAAGAGTCTACTACTCCACAAAAAACATTAACTAAAAGTAATGAAAGAGACTCATCATCATCAACTTCAAGAGAAAGTTCAAGTGAAAGAGTACTGCTCTTCAAAAGATTAGAAGATCTTTATGAGGTAACTATGAATCAAGATAATCTTACCCTTTTTTGTCTCTTTGCCGACTGTGAACTCATGGATTTCCAAGAAGTCATACAAAGCAAGAAGTGGAAAGATGAAATGGATGAAGAAATTAAGTCAATCTAGAAGAACGACACATGAGAGCTAGCTTCACTTCCTAAAGGGCATAAGGCAATTGGTGTGAAGTGGGTGTACAAAGCAAGGAAGAATTCCAAAGGAAAAATTGAAAGATATAAGGCAAGATTGGTGACAAAAGACTACAGTAAAAGAGAATGCATCGAAAGAAAGGAGATACAAGTGGAGTATGTGAAGTTTTAAGATCAAGTTGCAGATATTTTTACCAAGCCACTCAAGAGTGAAGACTTTATTAAAATGAGAAATTTACTTGGAGTCACAAAATCAATTTTAAGAGGGGGTGTTGAAATATAAACTTGATTTTGTTTGTTTAAAAAAAGCCTAATTATGTCTCATCTTGAAGCTTATAAATTATTATGTGGTAGGTGTGAAATTATTGTGTGCTAGGTATGAAATTATTTATAACCATTAGATTGAAATTGTAGTGACACAATCCTAGCCATTAATTTAAGGAGGTGTCACTAGTATAAATAGGGGTGGAGCATTTGAGTTTGTATCAAGTCAAGTAAGGGTGATAAATAAAAGTGAAACTTCTTCCATAAATTTTTACCCTTTGTCATATCCTAAAAACTTCTCCATTCCAACACTCTATTCCCTTCAAAAATTGGTAGTGAGAGACTCGACCGACTGGTTCGGTTCGAGAGTAAAGCTCTGAAGTTCAGGCTTGGGGCGCTTGATAAGTTTTCGACATTTGGTGCAACATAAAAACTAATAACAAACCTGAATGTTTTATTTAATCATTTACATGCTGATGATTTTAGCTTAAGAAAAATAGTGGAAGAATGCAAAGTTAGAAATAAGAGTAGTTACCTTTTTTTTTAAAAAATTGTTTGCAAGTTTGATGTAACCCGCAAGCTAAATAGAAATTGAAGGTATTTGAAGAAAATTTTATCTTAAGAAAGCACTGATTAAATTGAACCATGATTCACTTCATAAAGGTTACGGGCATCTGGTCAAATTACACTTTTTGAAGTCTCTTAAGCAATGGAAGTCAATTGTTCCTTATATTTTAAGAAAATGATCCTGAAAAAAAAAAACAAATTTCCAATTCTTTAAAATTATTTAAAATAAGTTATGCAAAGCTTATGTATTTTATGATGCATTCTATTGTTTTTTTGTGTGTGCTGGATTTATGGAAAATCATTTTAAATTCTTATGTAAACTATAATTAAATTGTATGTCACCCTCATTACGATAAAAAAGCATTAGAGCATTGATTTAAGATCAACTTTTTGTGTGTGCTGGATTTATGGAAAATCATTTTAAATTCTTAGGTAAACTATAATTAAATTGTTTTTCACCCTCATTACGACAAAAAAGCTTAGAGCATTGATTTAAGATCAATGGCAGTGAAGTTTAATATCAAATTGTTTTATTATTCATGGCTTTAGAAATAGGATTTGTTTATTACATTCAAATTATGCTTTGTTGAAGGTTTTCCAAAGTCAAAGAACATGATTTATGCATGCAGCTATGAATACGATGAAGAAAATCTTATAGAGATCAAGTAATAGTTGTGTAAACTTTTGACCCAAAAAAAATTATTAAACAAGGTTTTCCAAAGTCAAAGAACATGATTTATGCATGCTGCCATGAATACGATGAAGAAAATCTTATAAAGATCAAGTAATAGTTGTGTAAACTTTAGACCCAAAAAAAATTATTAAACATTATTAAGTCAACGAACATGATTAATGGATGCTGCTGTGTCGAAATGGAGTCCATGTCAATACCCCTCAGTAAGAGGGAGTGGTTTGAGGGGAATTGACTAAGCACTTTCTCACAAGCAACACTGCTACTTGAATTTGAGCTATTGCCACTCTCTGAATAAATATGTCAAATATCACCATTTATTATTATTATTATCATTATTATTTCTATATCAAAAGTGTGACTATATACAAGCAACAATTTAGTTAACTTCTAGATTAATTTACTATAATTTTAATAAAGTATGAATAATGCTAGTGCTATTAATTCATTTACTTGTTTTTTTTTAAAGAACTGGGCGAAATCTCTTATTCACATTTTGTCAAAGATGTAGTAAAATAGTACTAATTGGCTACTTCGATTCATATTATCTAATTGTTGTGTCATTAAATCATTTACTTGTTTTTTTTTAAAGAACTGGGTGAAATCTCTTATTCACATTTTATCAAAGATGTAGTAAAATAGTACTAATTGGCTACTTCGATTCATATTCTCTAAATGTGTCGAACAAAAAAATGTGATCATTTACGAAATCTCTTTTTGTTTTAAGTTTCCAAAATTCTTTTTTCACTGCAATGTTCTTATTCAGCCATTCAAACTTTCAGAAACTTCTTGTTTTAAGACAAAAAAATAACAATAAAAACATAAAAATAAAAGAAATAAATAAAAAACTTCTTGTTTTAAGATAATATGAGGAAATGTTGCTGCAAATTAATCCAAACAATACAATTCCTTTTATTTTCCCCTACGCAATTTATATTTTATGATATATCTTGTTTTTTGGCAGGAACGTCAACTTGGAGAGATCAATAAGCAGCTAAAAATGAAGGTATATTTTATCATCTTAGCGTATCATAACTGCAATTATAAGTTCATGTAATCAAAATTAATTTGTATTATAAAAACAAAAAAAAATATTGATATAAAATAGGGTTACAGCTCATATTTATCCAGGTTCTTTTTTGAAGTACTTTTTCATTTTTATGCAGAATGTTACAAAAATCAAAATTTTGCGCGTATTTTTCCCTTTAGCATTTGCACTGATTTGATAAATAAATCTTATTTCCTCGTGTAGGTGTATCATAATTTTTATATTTTATCATCTTAGCGTATCATAACTGCAATTGTAAGTTCATGTAATCAAAATTGATTTCTATTATAAAAACTAAAAAAAAAAATATTGATATAAAATAGGGTTACAGCTCATATTTATCCAGGTTCTTTTTTGAAGTACTTTTTCATTTTTATGCAGAATGTTACAAAAATCAAAATTTTGCGCGTATTTTTCCCTTTAGCATTTGCACTGATTTGATAAATAAATCTTATTTCCTCGTGTAGGTGTATCATAATTTTATTTCATAAATCCTAAACAAACCTGAAAAAAAAAAACACATATTACCAGCTTCATATATAGCCTTTCCAAAGTCAGAATATGCTATTGATTTCTTTTGATAAATAACAAATTATATAATTCACGTATGATAATTTTCATTTTTATGCAGAATGTTACAAAAATCAAAATTTTGAGCGTATTTTTCCCTTGATTTCTTTAGCATTTGCACTGATTTGTTAAATAAATCTTTTTTCCTCGTGTAGGTGTATGATAATTTTCTTTCAAAATCCTAAACAAACCTGAAAAAAAAAACACATATTACCAACTTCATATATGGCCTTTCCAAGGTCAGAATATGCTATTGATTTTTTTTGATACATAACAAATTATATAATTCACGTATGATAATTTTTCAGCTTGAGGCTGGTGGTGGCTCTCTTAGGCTTATCCAAGGCTCATGGGATTCTGATGCGGCGGTGGTTGAAGGCAATGCGTTCCACATGCACCCTTACCACTCGAATTCATTGGAATGCGAGCCGACTCTACATATAGGGTACATATCAATCGCTATTTTTATTTATACTTTTTCCAAATCAATTTTCAGTATATTTTGATGAAGATATGAGAAGTCATATACTAAACCATTGCTACTCATCTAAGACCCTTTACCAGAAATTTTACTAGTAATCATGGTAACTAAATCTCATATTAAAAGTATCATTCAGTCAAATTTTTTGCATCTATAGTTGCATAATTTCATGATTATTAATTGTCTGCCAAAAAAAGTTTGACTAAATATTACTTTTTCAGCTCATATTTTTATAATAGACGTTACTAAAATCTTTAGTAACAGTGTAGCACAAGCCATTATTTCCACATTTGAGGGAAAAAACTTTGATTATACGGCCATATAGAACCTCACTTGTATGTCTAACTTCATGTTATACTGCATTAATTAATATCTTAAAAGTATTCCAAATATCATAAATATTTGCAACTCTCTAGATTTTCCAAATGTTGTCATCTTCTCAAATAATATGAATCATATCTTTGAGAACACATTGATGTATCTGATACAGAATTTCTTTGCAACACAATATTTATTACTTTATAAACAGGTATCACCAGTTTGTTCCTCCAGAAACTGTAATTCCCAGAACCCCAGGTGTAGAGAATAATAATTTTATGCTTGGATGGATGCTCTAAGTTGAAGTCCGAGATGAAAATTACTAGGAAATATTTATTTATGTAGTGTTTATCTTGTCAAAAAGCTGAATTATTCTGCTGCTTTGTGTATCTGTCATAGAATGTGTTTTGTTTTCTGAAATGTTGCACTAACATAATTAACATAAATATAAATATATAAATATATATATATTTTATGTAGCTGGGATATTATAATTTCATTGTAGGACAACGTGATGTATGGCTGTAATTGATTTTGTGATATACTGATCCTTATAAATGGTGGCTTAAGGCATAATACAATATGTAGCGTCCCAAAATAAAAGACATGCAATTGTGATGATTCTTTAAAACCTATTCCCAAGTTGATGCTCGATTCAAAAACAGAATAAAATTTCTACACAATGATGGTTGTGGCAAATATACAAACTCTAGATCTGCCTCAAATTTTATATTGACCATGGTATACCACATCAATACTCCTAACCCTATACTCTAATGCAAAAGCAAGTTACTGAACGAAAGATTAATGTAAAGTTGAGAGTAATGAGTTGGCATAAAGTATATCAAAGAACAAATCATATATCCAAACAACTTTATTTTTATTTATTACTTTTTGAATCTTTATCAAGCAAAGTGTTTTTTGCACATCTAAAATGTTCAATTTCAAATTTATTACTTGTTCATGAGTATAATTTATTTGACATTAAAAGTGTCATTTTTTTCTTATTCTACTTGATATCTTAGAAATAATCATGTTCTAAATTTTTTCATGGTACTCATTTTTAATTTTTTTGTTCATAGTACAAGAAAACATATGGCATATTAAATTGCTTATGACATCACTAATAATTTTTTTCTTTATGAAAATGGAGAATAGGTAAATCATAATTTGTTCTTTTAAGAAACATAATTGGGTCATTAGTTTCTTTATATAAGACATTTTTATTAAAAAGTTGCCCAATTTATGGTACCATATTCATGTCCCTATCATATTTATTTGTCACCACTAGAGATCTAAAATGATCCGGATGGTGCCACTACTTGAATCTTACAACATCAGCTTTATTTATTGACTATTCCACCACTAAAGCCAACATCACCTTTATTGTCGCCTACTTCCTTGCCTTCATTTTAAGAACCCTCCTAACTAGTGTCATCTTGACCTTATGGTTTACCTGCACCTTCTTTTATCTTTTCAACTGTACTACTCATTTAGAGTTCTTATCAATGCCACCATCTTCTCTTAGGTCATTCACAATCTAGCATCTATTTTTATTGCAATCATCTAATTCGCACCACTCTACTTAGCTGCCGCCACCTTCCATCACAATATGAATTTAGCCTATTTCACTACTGGAAAAACGTTGAAATTGATGGCAAAACCGATGACCTAAACTTGCATATAAAAAATGTTCTATTTTCCGACAGTCTAGTGATTTTTTATGAGCTGGGTTATTTGCGACAACATAACTAAAGTATATGTCGTCATTTATTAACAACAATATCTCTTCCAACTGCTTTAGTTATTATCAGTGAATTATGTTGTTAGTTATAAACATTTATTAACCGACGACTATATTTCGTCGGTTAGTTTTGAATCCGCTTGACGGGGTGTTAACCGACGTGTTTTTTTAATAAGTAATAGTATTGTCTGTCAGTAATAATTAATTACTTATCGATTTTAAACCATTTATAGGCTGTCAGAATTAAACCTTTATACAACACAAAATTGCGTCACTCCTGTTCTTGACCTAATCCTGCCCTTCTCAGTCTCGCCGCGCCCTAAGCATTTCCTCTTCCGGTGACTCTATTGCTCAGGCGATCCCACCACTCAGGCAAACAGCGTCCCCAACTACCACCTACTCTGCTCTCAGTGTGACAACCCCAGCTCGTGGCTCAAAGGTATGGTAGGATAAACTTAAAAAATAAGTTTATGTGTTAGATCTATAAATACTTAGGAATTGAATGGAATGTATGAAGAGTTCCCTTTTTCTTTTCATTTATTTTGAAGGATGTGTTTAGGGTTTAGGGGTTTAGGGTTTAGTAAGTAAAGGAGGTTTCACCAAACATTAGGGATCAGCTTTAAGCCTGTATGTTTTTACTTTAGTTATGGATGCTCTTACAGAATATTTACAAGAGCATGTACCTTGGTGTATTTTTTTTTCCAGTGATTTCCTTTTTGTGAATAAGACCAGAGAAAGAGTTTAGGAAAAAAATAAATTATGGAGGTTGACATTGAAGTCTAAAGGCCTTCATTTGAGTAGATCTAGAACTAAATAAATGAAATGTAATTTTAGTAGCAACAGCTAAAGTGGTAGAGTTGTAATTATGGGTGATCAATTCATTAGAAGGTGTGAAAACTGTAGATATCTCAGGTCTCTTGTTCAAAGTGATGGTGATATAGATGAGGATGAGATTAGTAGATTTCAAGTTGGTTTGTTGAAGTGGAGGAATAAATCCGGACTATTCTGTGATAGAAAATACTACTTAGAATTAATGGAAAATTTTATAACATGCATGGTGAGACTTGCAATTTTCTATGACACAAAATATTGGCCTTTAAAAAAGATGCATAGAACAAATCTAAGTGTTTCTGAGATGAGAATACTTGGATGTATGAGTGGCTAGACACATATAGACAAAATTCAAAATGGATATATTCATGATAGGGTTTGTGTGGTTCCAGTGGCACACAAGATTGGAGAGAGTTGTCTTATATAGTTTGGTCACTTTAAACATCGTCATCTGATGATCCGGTTAGGAAAGTAGAAGTTTTATATTCAACTTATGTTAAGAAAGGCAGAAGTAGACCTAAAAATACTTGGACATATTACATAATAAATGATCTTAATTTATTAGAATTTAATTAAAATATGAAACTCAACAAGACACAATGGTGAAATAGGAATCTTGTAGACGATCCACTTTGTGGGATAAAAGCTTGTTATTGTTGTTGTTGTTATTGTTGTTAGAGACAAAATGCGTAATGAATATATCCATCGATAGGGTAGGTGTAGCTCCGGTGGTAGACAAAATAAGAGAGTAAAAGGTTTTACATACATACCACTAAATTCATATGTATTTATACATCTAACATTTAAACTTCGCATTTTAATACAACTTTTCATGTACATGTAAGGTTGTATGTTTACAAAATTGGAAGTTTAATTGTTAGATATGTAAATACATAAGTATTAAGAGTAGAATTTCATATCTCTAGTAAAGGTTTAAGCTAATAAATGTTCCACGCCATGTCTGATCGAAATCTAGTAGGTTTGATCCACAATTTGATTTCACATGTTGGGTAGGTTTGTTAATTTAGGGGTTGGACTTATTAAAATTTATGGCATTCATGTTCAAAAACTTAGGACATCTAAAGTTTATATTATACATGTGTTACGTAGGATATCTAAGACATTCACTCATATTATAATGTGTTGATTATTATGAGATTTGATCATAGTTTGTTACAAATCCACCATTAAATCTACTATAGGTTGGATCGTTTAAAGTTTGAGTATTTTTAGTTCTATCGAAGATCATTAATCGGTCAAACATTCATTCATAATCCATTAAAACGTCTCCCTCTAATATTGTATGACACTGTAGCTACACTAGGCCTCACATAGTTATATTTGTGCCACATTTTGCCTCTAAGTGAAAAACAATTATAAACCTAAGCATCCTCATCTCTGCAACTTATAAACAAATTACTTTCACTTCTTTTAACAAAATTTGAGAAGGAAATGTATCATATGGTATAAGTGTATTTGATTCATCATCCAATGGATTAGCATTCCCAAAATGGAAATTCACATCAAACATCATGTTCATGAAATATCATGAACATAATGTTTATAGTGAATTTCCATTTTGGGAATAAAATTTAGATTTCTCATTGGATGATGAAGTGAACACTCTTACGTCATACGAAACATTTTCTTTTTAGAATTTGTTCATAGGTGTGAAAGAAATCTATTAAGCACTGTTTAGATAAGAATACTTGGATAAGTGGCTTCAAACTTCTAGAGAAAATATGAAAGAGATATGCTCATGAAAAAGTTGGCGTAGCTATTGTGACAGCTAAGATTAGAGGTAAAAAATAGATAAATGTTCACCAATTATCGATCTTCGAGAACCCTAATAGCCTCATTAAGCTATTAATGTTCTAACTTTGAGCTTTATTATGGTCAACTTGAAATAAATTTGATCCGAAATTAAATTCAATCAATTTTTGAGTGATTGTCATGTTTTGAGCTATTTAAAACGTTCACTCCTTTTACAACGTGTTGATTATTGTCAAGTTTTATCACTAATGTTACAACTGTGTCATAGATCTACTACTATAATTAAATATAATATATTCAATTAAATGTACTTTATAAAGTGTCGATTTTTCACAAGCTTGAGTGTATATATGTATATTCATACACCGAGAACATGTATGTACAATAGACTTTATCTGGATAGAAAAGGTGTCACCAAAGAGTTCTTGAATGGTGTCGAGGCATTTGTGGAAGCTGCATTTCAACTGTTGGTTTACCTATATGATGGTAGGTTTTGGTATCCATGTTTGAAACATAGAAATCGAGCACACCTAACATTTGACAAAGTGAGATATGATCTATATCGCTGAGGATTTCAACCTGATTACTTGATTTGAACTTCACATGCAGAGGTTGATCCTATAGCATTTGGCTATGCCCCTTCAATGTGTTATGTGCCTCCACCTGGATTCTACTCAACTAGATTTGAAGAAATGATCTTTAATGGAACACTACATCATTATGCGAGCCAAGTTCAGCACGAAAAGACACCAAATCCTGAGGCTTAGAAGCTTTATGATTTATTGAATGCTACTCAATGACCACTGTAGGAAGGTTGCACGTCTCATTTTGAGTTATTTGTAGCCCTAAGAATGCCAAAAATAAAAAAAAAGTACAAAATTCTCAGGGAGTGCTTCAATCCATTTGTAGTTCTGTTGAAATAGACTAATTAACCTAAAAATTTAGTCCTTGAACATTTATAGAGGACGAAAAAGGCGGTCTCTAAGTTAGGGCTTAAAGTAGAGAAGATTGATTATTGTGTAAACAAATATATGCTATGTTACAAGAGTTGTGCGATGGAGGGTCAATGTAGATTTTGTATATCTCCTAGATTCAAATCTCAGAGTAGAAAAAATAAGAGGTAGAAAGAATTTTTGTTCAAGCAGCTCCTTTATCTACCAGTTATTCCACGTTTATAGAGGCTATACATTTCTATGCATAATGTTTCACATATGACGTGGTATCAAAGTAGATTAGAAGAAATCAACTCAATGAGTCATTCTGCAAAGGAGGAAGTGTAGAAATATTTTGATCATTCATATCTTGAGTTTGTTGTGGAGGCACGTAACGTGCGGCTTTGCATACGCTCTGAGTGCTTCACATCGTATAGTCAGACCGCAACATCCTACTCTTATTGGCCGGTGATTTTGATGTCAAATAAAATTTTTCCTAAAATGTGCATGACAACCCCTTTATTCTTCTTGACACTGATTATACCCAGTTCTAGTAGCCCTAAAGGGGGATTGATGCATATTTGCAGTTATCGATAGATGAACTGCATATTCTTTCAGAAAAGAGGGGTCACAATGTTTAATGGAAAAGATAGCCCATCCATATTGCATGAATTTATTTAAGACATTTACGCTTCAACATGAAAAGAAGAATTCATGGTTTAAGTGTCACTATATGTTTTTAGATGCTGAACATCCCTTTTGGAGGAACAAGAATATATTTAGAAGGAACAAAATTAAGAAATTATCGTCACCTCTTAGAGTATTTGGGGAAGATATATTGTAGATTATTAATGACATTCCAAAGATTATTATATGCACCGAACTTCCTTCACATCATCTACCCGAATTTGGTGTCACCCATAATTGGACAAAGAAGTCAAGTTTTTGGGATATGCTTTATTGTAAGGATAACATGATCAGACATAATATCGATGTCATGCACATAGAATAAATTTCTTTACTAACATCTTCAACACCGTGATAGATGTTAACGGAAAAAAGTGAATGCCGGACATGATCTGAAGGAGATATGCAAAAAGTGAGAGTCGGATATCCAAGAAGCTGCTACCGACAAGTTCATTAAGTTCAAAGTAAAATATTCCATTACTTTGTCCCTGCGAAGAACAATTTGTGGGTCGCTCCAATCACTAAAATTTTCTAGCAGGTATGCTTTGAATTTGAGCCGTTGTGTTGATGTGGGTGCAAGGAAAATATTTGGAATGAAAAGTCATGTCTTCCATATTTTTCTACAAAATTTGATGCCAACCTCATTTAGTTGTTTTTTGAATAAAGTCTTCAACCCATTGATTGAAATATTGTGTTCTACAAAGAACTATGTGCAGCTTGTTCAAAGATTGATGACATATATCAGCTAGAAGCAAACATTCCTGTAACACTTTACAAGCTCAAAAAAATAATTTCTTCTAGCTTCTTCAACTCGATGGAGCATCTGCCCATACACTTACCCTATGAGGCATTGATTGAAGATCCAACACATTACCGCTAATTGTATCCATTTGATAGATAATTACTTTGAGGCTAGATATTTAATCATTCATTTATAGAGAATATTGTCGTCGTCCTTATTTTTGTGAGTATTCCTCACCCACTTATACATGACACTAGATCAGGGTTATGTTTTTTTAGCCTCATAAGGGCAATCCCAAGCCCCCAAAATTTGGTTGGAAAGGTTTAAGGTTTTGAACAAATGAGGAACCAAATTTGACCACCATAGGCTAGACATGCCCTAGGTGACCCAAACTAACTCAAAACCTTAGGGACTTACCTATGGACCCTAGAATTTGACCATGAAATCCACATTGGGAGAGGGTTCTACCTAAATTGATCCCTAACCTCTCCAAAGTCTTCCTAACCCCACCAAACCCGAAAAATCACCTTAAACCCTAGTGTGCCCTTTCGAACCCAAGTATTGATGGCACTTTGGGATGGTCAAAAGTAATTATGCCTAACCATAATTTAGCCAAAATTTGACCAATTAACCACCTTGCCCTCCAATTGAGCCTCACCTCACATGGTTATGATACCACACCATGTGGTGGACACAAAAGTTATCCTCAACATGTTGAGCATGGTTGAGGATAACTTTTGGGACACTTTTCTCCTATTCTCCATGAAAGAAAATCTTGTTGGTCGCTTTCTACGCATAATGAGGATAACTTTCTTCTGCATTGCAACACTAAAGAATATCTTGTTGATCGCCTGGTATGTTGGATGGGGACAACTTTCCTCAGCGTTGTAACACAAAATAGGTTCCCGTTGATCACTTAATATGCAGGTCGGGATGACTTTTTTTTTCATAGGAAATCACAAATCACTTGCTGGGTAGGGATGGAGACTTCATTTCCATCCTCTTCTCCTTTGATTATTTATTGGCTTAAAAATCACTAATATTTATGACTAAAAATTAATGAAACTCATAAAATAGTAATTAAAAAAGAACGTGAAATTTACTTTAATTCTCTTATCGTTCCTACTAATTTTTGGTGTTCGGAATTCAGCTTTATTGTCTTCCACATTCCTCGTTCCAAATTCATTAAAAAAAAAAAGAAACCACAATCAATTGAAAAAAAATCACATTGGGGAGAGCAAACATGATTACCTGAATTATAAGCAATTTAATGGATTTTATATATGCAAACATTTCAAATTCCCATAAAAAGTTCAAATTACTATTAAGGGGTGGAATTTGATCAGACTTGTATACATAAATTATTTAGAAACTTTTAATATTCCCATGGTTATGATTTAATCTATACATAAATTCCTATATTAACGTGGTCAAAATTATTTTCAAATTACTTTGAACGGATTCAAACTCTCAACCTAACCCAAGTAGAAGCCAAGATGCCAACAATACTGCAATGCTTTTAAGATATAAATTATTCATATAAAAATGAAAAACTTGTAATAAAATTTTATAAACACACACACATACACAATCACAAAATTTTGAGGTTATAGGATTTTGATATTTTCGAGCGACGAAGCTAATATCACAAGAAATGGGGGGCAATTTATACGTGATCAACAAATTTCTAACATTTGACATGAATCTTAAAGTATGTACGGATCTCGATAAAATTTTTTTAGTAAGAAATATTTAAACTTTGATAAAAGATCATAGGAAAGTCCGATTTTAACAAACGTACAATCAAACTCATCGACTCAACATGGCGAACTCAATGATCTCAAAGTTGGTTCAATCTGAGTCCCGATCAAGAAACTCCAATACTTTTAGAAGTTTACTGGAGGTGCATATTTGGAATGTCAAACATATGTCGAATCTGAAGAGTATATTAGAGTCGAGCGTCTTGATAAGACAAATTCAACGAGTCCCAAATTGTTCAATTCCGACATTAGTAAGGGATCAAATGTCCATCAAATGCTATATGATCAAAGAAAGCTCACATAATCTTTTGATCAAAGTGATTCATATTATTATATTAATTATATCCGTAACTATAAATAGAGTCTTACCACTCTCTTGAAATGGAAATAAAAAGCTTGAAGTATGAAGAAATGCTTTAAGCTTTGAGAATGAGATGAAGTCCAACACTACTCCGATCACTGCCGACCACCATCAATTACAACTTATCGGCTCTCGCCGAACCTCATCGGTCGCCTCAACTTCTTTGCGGCGAGACCGTTCACGTATTGGCGTTGTAATTCAAAAAACCTTATAATCCTTTTCGAGCTATATGTAATTATGAAGTTATAATTGATTTTTAGGACAAGATAGTTTTATCCTTTTTTAGGTTTTTCATATAAAATCTTTTAGTATTTCTACAAGTATGTTTTATTCATGGAGGTGTGTGTTGAATCCTTTAGCAAGAGGCATCAAGTAAATTTTATTGTTAGTAATTCGGATCTTAAAAACATCTTTACCTGAATATGTAAATTTTTTGATTATTTCCGAACAAAAACAGAGAAAACTCATGAAATAGATAGTTCATATTTACAAACAATAACTATTTCAAAATCTAATAAACAAGTCCCGCATTCACCAACAGCTGCTTAGTATCAACAACCTCTAAACAGTTCCAGTTCCTTCAAAACCGAAACAGATATCACGAAAACTCAAAAAACAGATTTAGTAAAACCAAAGATGTCCAAAAATATTTACAAACAAAAAAAAGAATCATTTCATTTCCGACAAAGAAGCCCGACAATCCCCAACAGCCGAGCAGCTTCAGCAACGCTTAAACTGAGGACGACGCCCAACCAGAAGGACTTTCAAAACCGAAAGCGGCGCTCTTAGACCGGCCTCAGCCGGCGCCACTGCCGATCTGCAGAGCGGACAACAGAACCGGCCAAGATTCAGCCACCGGTCCATACAATCAACGTGAAAAGCATGGCAACAGTTCCCAAGCTCCCGAACGTGATCCTCCGCCTCTATGTACCGAAGGCAAATAACACATTCCTCCTTCGCCTCATTTGTGCAAAATTTTCCTTTTTTCTGGATGAATCTCTGGAACTCCATAACCGGCAGCTTGCACTTGAGAGACTCGGCAATGGAAGTGGATGTTGGCACGGGGATGCCGACGGAGGAGAATAAGACATCCTCATTCTCCCATGGGGTCGCCTCTGGATCGAAGTTTGGGTTGAGTCCGATCCGATGGAGGAGGAAGAAAAAGCTGTATTGGAGAAGGTCGAGGAGGTAGAGGAAGGTGATGACTGCTTTGGGGATCATTGTAACAGGAAGAGAATAAAATTTTGTCTGGCTATTATCGACTTTGAAATCTTAAATAAGAGTAGCGGTGGCTTCGCGTTACATAAGATAATACTTTTGGATGATGAGATGTTGTCACCTGTCTCTGATTGATTAAAAAAGTAATTTTTTGGTTTACGTGTTCGATACAGTTGTCGAGAATGTAAGCGGCTTAAGAAGAGAGGGACATCTGGCGCAGGGCCGCAGGGTTTCATGGGTCATTGGAAGTTGACGTACCTTAAAATATGAGCCTACGTTCTTTCTTAGCTCTTAGTGAAGGTTTGATATATGAAAAATAGGACTTTTTTTTATTCAAATCAAGGGATTGAGGAGGGTTCTAAGCTATAGAATCTTAATTTTGTAAAGCTATGCGCGGGACAAATCTCATATTCGTGGTAAACTTCTATTGTCCAGTCACAAGTTCTAGGAGCTCAGAGGTGCAATTGATTTTATCTCACTCTTGAAAGTTTTTATTTTCTTTTCAAGTTTTGTTGAGTGGAAGATATTGAAATGATTTTGATGAGAGGGCCCTTATCTAACAATGAAAAATCATTCAAATTAAAAAGTAGAATCATAATTTTAAGATAGTCAAAATAAGTTCTTATTTTGGTGAATTTTCCTAATCTCTCTTTGTATTATTGGTCTTAAAATAGATTTTTGAGACAGGTTTATATATATATTTACATACATGACACTATGGCCCTTTAAATAAATGCATGAAAATGTGAATTTCAAATTTTAACTTAGTAGTTGTGTTATTTTTTATGTGACATTAAATGTTGAGGTGCTATGTGTGAAATATGAAAGCTTAGGTGTTCTTATGTAAATACATAAGAATGGCATACCATGTTTGTAAATACCCCTTTTAAAGGGAAATTTAGGTACGTAGCACACAATCCTTAACTATTTATTTAAATCTCTCACACAAATTTTCATATTTAAATACATGATCAAATGGTGATGAAAACCTATGCATGAAAATGCATATTTCAATTTCAAAGAAGTTAAAATTATTATTTTTTATGTTATATTAAAGTTTTGAATGCCATTTGTTCTTATAAAAAAACATAAAAATTGTTTGGTATGTAGGTAAATGCCTCATTCTAAAAGGCAATTCAAATATATTGCACACAATTCTTATTTATTTATGTATCCCACATAAACTTTAATATTTACATTCATGGGACTTTGGTGCTTTAAAACTATGCATGAAAATATGTATTTTACAATTAAAAAGTGGTAATAGTGTTATTTTTGATGTGATATTAAAGTGTTGAGTGCTATGTGTGTAAATATGAAAATTTATGTTTCAGATATGTAAATACAAAAGAATTATATGTTCTTTATGTAAATGCCCGTTTTAGAGGGAAATTTACATATCAAACACACAATTCATCTGTATTTAAGTATCTAATACTAAAGCTTTCATATTTACATACATGACACCTTTGTTCTTAAAACCTTCGCATAAGAAGTGGTAACAGGACTATTTTGCATGCGATAATAAATTTTTGAGTGTTGTGTGTAAGCATGAGTTTTGGTTTGAGATGTAAGAGTACATAAGAATTGTTTGCTATCCAAGCAAACGTCCCAATTTTAAATTAGTTTTATATTTATACTACTCAATTCCTTATTAGCAAATGTGCAATGACATATATGAAAAAAAAGAAATGAAGTTAGATTTGTAAATATATAACTTTTAGCGGTATGTTTTACAAATATGCAATAATATATATGCAAATTGTATTGTATGTATGGAAGTCACTTATTTGCTATCAGGTTCACATATTTAAATTTCTCCATTTGAGATGGTTTATTTCCATTCTAGCCAATTCATTTCAACTCGACCCAAACACAGATTGATTGTGATTATTGAATTATATATATATACAATAGTTTTTTTACCATTTAACCCATTTTTTCTCATGTACAATAGTATATATAATGTATGAATATTTTCACTATAAGGTAATGTATGGACAATAGACTATATCCTGGTAGAAAATGAATCATAAGTAGTTCTTCAATGATGTTGAGTCTTTCATTCAAGCAATGTCTCAGCTTTTGACATACTTATCTGAGGGTAAGTTTTTGTTTTCTCACTCTACAAGCATACCCGTACCTAGGTCAGCATATTTGTGCCTAGAACATGAATGATCGTGCCAAGGTTGGTGTACCTACACCAAGGGTAGGCACTCTTGCGCCTCTCTAGTGCCAATGACTAGCGTGTCTCTACTGGACATGAGCACATGTGCACTCTATTAATATAAATCAATTTTTTTGGAATGCTTTCGTGCCTATTTCTACCCCTTAATTGTTTGCATGAGGAGAAGGACTATGGGACATGGTGGTGGCTGCTTCTCTCTAAGTTTTATTAGAGTTCTATCAACTCTAGAGTTTTTTTTTTCTAATGGTTTTCCTTAAGTAACATTTTTAGGGGAATTTCTTATGAATTTGGAGAGATGATGGGAGAGATTTAGTTCATTTTTATGATAAAGATATGTGGAAGCATGTATTAAAGGGAGATGATAACTTTATATTGCAATGAATAATTGACTCAAATCTGACTTTACTGTATTTTTTTGCATTATTTCCTTTATATGTCCAATATAATAATTTTTTGTGCATTTTTTCTCATGTACAATACAATTAGAAGAATTTTTGTTGAACTTCTAAGAGTCTAAATTAGAAAATATTTTTCCCCTTTTTTATAGTTTATTTTTCTTATTTTTAATTTTACAAAATAGTTTAAATAAATAAAATTAAATAAAATGTTCCAATACTTATAAATGGAAACTCCTCAAGAAAATCACTGTAAATGTCTTAGAGAGTATGTCAACCCTCAATTGTAGAAAATTTACATGACTCTTATTTAGCCTGAATCACTCATGATCTAAGACATTTAACTATCACATTAAAGAATGAGTATGTTAATGCAAAATAGACTAGTAGAATAGATATATTGTCTTTAGGAAATGTAACCTAAATAAGAGACAACAATTTTCCTAGGAAACAATGCATGGTTATGTTACCTTAACTATAATATGGTTTTAGCTCTTCTTATGACCTAGACAAATTCTAATGAGGATATGTCGATGGCTGTCAATGATAACATGGGTTTCATATGAAAACATTGATAAACCATTATAGCACTATCACAAGAGTATAAGCTTTGTACACTTAAAGAACTTCAAAAAACCTAGCATATTTTTTTCTTGCATTAGGTTTTTAAAACTTTCATATTTGCAAACTGCACCTTCAAACTAAACTTAGCGGTTTAGCAAATTAGAACTTCACCTGTTAGAAATATTTTGATAACTTTCCTCATGAGATTGATATGTGGACTCATTATCTATATACTACTTGATTGATATGTATATTTGTGAGAATGACTGTCTTAACACACAAAAAATTCATGCATCAAGTTTTCTACGCCTTTGCCAAAAAGAGAGGTCAAAATTTTCTGAAATTAGAAGAATTTAAGTTGAACTTCTAAGAGTCTAAATTAGAAAATATTTTTCCCATTTTTTATAGTTTATTTTTCTTATTTTTAATTTTACAAAATAGTTTAAATAAATAAAATCAAATAAAATGTTCCAATACTTATAAATGGAAACTCCTCAAGAAAACCACTGTAAATGTCTTAGAGAGTATGTCAACCCTCATTTGTAGAAAATTTACATGACTCTTATTTAGCCTACTATAAAAGGCCCTACATTTGAAAATAAAAAAGAT